TAATTTCTCTTCTAAGGATAGAGCAAAACAAATTGATTCAGAAAAAGCACGTTTTAGTTGAGGCCATGGATGAAAAATATTTTCATGGTCTTCTTCTCTGTCTTTGGCTTGGATGTTCTTGCCCCACTTTGTCAGTACTTTTTTTATATGTATAAGCTATTTATTAGGTTGTGGACGGGGAATGTAAGCATGACACGACACTTCCTGGCAGATATTTTCATGGGGGACACTTTTGCGCAGAAGCATTTCCGCACATGATACTACTGCGTTGACGTTTGCGCGAAAAGTTAAATTTAGGAATGGAACAGTCTTCTAAATTCTACTTAATTAAGCTAACGAGGGAAGGGTCCCAACTGATCAATCGCTTTTGCGTGGAGGCTATGTGCATTATGTAGGTGCAAAAGAGTTATGAATATCCTGACAAAGTTCGAGCTGCTAGCTTATTGCTACGGAGATACTGCACTTTTACGGTATGTTTTTAAATGATAGCTGTGGTCCCCCTCAGGAACATCGGAAAAAATGATTTTCGATTTTGACTTGAAACTTTACATATAAGCAGACCTTACCGAGAATAGTATTTTGTGAAATTTTCAGGTCTTTCTATTTGTTCTTATCCTGAAATGACAACATCAAATCCTTTGGTTTATCTGAATGACATTATCATAGTTGTATCTACCGATAACAACAACAAAAAGGTCTGAAGCTTTTACAAAATACTATTCTGGGTAAGGTCTGTTTATATGTCAAGTTTCAAGTCGAAATTCGAAAATCGTTTTTTCTGGTGTTCCTGAGAGGGACTACAGCTTTCATTTAAAAACATAACGTAAAAGTGCAGTATCTCCGTAGCAATGAGCTAGCAGCCCGAACTTTTTTCAGAGTATTCATAACTCTTTTGCACCTACATAATGCGCATAGTCTCAACGCAAAAGCCATTGATCAGTTGGGGATCTTTCCTTGTAAGTGATTAAGCGGTATTACTTAACACTTAGTATTAAGTTCTGTTTCTTTTTTTCTACATAACAATTAACTTGACTTAATATTAAATTAAGTGATTGTGCCCCGGCAATTTCGATTTTTCTCTAATCCATTAAGAACACAGCTTGGTGTTGTCCGAGCCGTTTAAAAGAGGACTCCTTCTAGCCCACAAAATTGACCCGAATAATACCATGTTTCATCCGAGCAATAGTGAAGCAAAATCCTGCTGAAGTCTGATTGGCTAGATGTCTTTTTCTACCAGGCAATCAAATTGTAGCAAGCTATTTCTTCACTACAATAAGGATTGAACATAGTGTTGTTCGCGACCTCTGAAAAAAGAGCCCTACTAACTTCTATATTAGAGTATGGCGTGTGGCTGTGGCTGTGAGCTTCGATGCTGGTATCAGAGGAACACGCGAACAGGCACCCATACCCATGGTATACGAACTGTCCCTTGCTTGCTTTGTGTGTTTCCGATCTCATCACTACGTTTACTCCTTTACCCCTCACTCTCAACTTCAAAATTTAATTTTCTCCATGAATGTCAGCGTAGTAGTATCATGCGCCAAAAGGTTGTAGCACGCCTCATGCAACTCAAAGATCATTTCATATGCTTTTAAGTTCGTTTTGCAAAACTAGATCGTTGCGTATTTCATCGATGTCGTAATCGATGAACTTACTACTTTGTTCAATGTGCGTATTCATAGTCAGTTCAGTAAATATCACTGGGTCATTTTCACTCCTAATCTTGAATAAAAATTAATAATTATCGATGACATTTCGAAAGGATATTAGTGAAATCGGTAGATCTTGCAAAAAACATAACTAATCATTGAAAATTCTACATTCAAAATAATCCATAGGTATTTGTATTTTCATGATTATTAATGATAATTAATGTTTTTTTTCCGATAGCAAAATCGAAAAGAGAGTCTTTAAATACTAATCTAAGTGATGAGTAGAGTTTTTTTTCTAAACGGTTTTTGTGCGACTTTTGGCATGGCAACTTCATAAGTTATGTACTTCGAGTCATAAATTAAATCGATTCTCTTTAACTGTATTGCTGTGTGAAAATCATTTCCTGGAATTCTATCAGGATTAGATATTTCAGATAGAATGAGTGGCATTAGCTGGTCAAATACAAATCAGAGCTATCGAACGTATAATGCACTGTGATAGACAGAAAAATACCGCAAGCAATTTGCCACTTCTCTTATGAGTTTCATCGTTCGATCCCTGAGAAATTTTTTTCCGAAAAAACATGCTTCATACTGAAATGAAGAACTGCATAACATTTCTATATTAATGAAGTCTCTTTCTATTCTAGGTGTGCTTTAAAAAAAACCTACCGTTCATATTTATTCTATTACACTTCGAAAATATCAAAATTCAACTTATAGAGTACAAAGTAGCCTATATCTTCACCAATGCAAAACTCCGAACATGCATCAAACCAAACATATCAAAAAAGTGATATCCAAGCCACTCTATTAAGACAATTGGACCAATTACGTCAACAGTATCCTGAACGCTTTTCAATATCAATTTATGTACTTGCTGCTGTTGATGAGACTGTGGATGGTAAAGTCGAAGAAAGCTTCAAGCAGGCCTTAACATATTATAGTGGGAAACGTATTATACTTATTCCTTACAATTCGGGTAATTTTCATTGGATTGGAATTCTAATACAATTCAATTCGCAGGAGCATATTGAACAATGTGAATTTATTGATCCCGTGATAGGATCAGATTTTGTTCCAAATAAACTACAAAAACAATTCACTAAAGTTTTCCCGAACTATATTCTACGCTCAAGAACTGCATTCATGAAACACGAAAATCAGTCAAAGAGTGAAACGCTAGTCATTGCGAACTTATTGTCACTAGTCCAGAATGCTACAAACATTTCCAGCGAAAGTAATCAATCGAACTTACAACAATTCGAAAAATCACTCATTAGTGGCTTGACAAAGTGGAATATTTCAGATGCAACTAAGCTTCCAGAAGAAATACAAGAAGCTGAAAAACAAATTCAAAAGTATGAAAAGCAGGGAAGAAGAGAAGAAGCACAGAAGGAAAAGGAGTTTTTAGCAGAATTAAAGGAGTTGCTTGAATTGACAGAAAAGATCGATAGTCTTAGAACCCTGGTCTCAGGTTCAGAGAACACGAAGGAAGTTGAACTTCGTCAGCTGGAGCACGAATTGGTCAGTGGTTTAGCAAAGTGGAATATTTCAGATGCAACTAAGCTTCGAGAAGAAATACAAGAAGCCGAAAAGCAGATTCAGAAATATGAAAAGCAGGGAAGAAGAGAAGAAGCGAAGAAGGAAAAGGAGTTCTTAGCTGAATTAAAGGAGTTGCTTGAATTGAAAGAAAAGATCGATAGTCTTAGAACCCTGGTCTCAGGTTCAGAGAACACGAAGGAGGTTGAACTTCGTCAGCTGGAGCACGAATTGGTCAGTGGTTTAGCAAAGTGGAATATTTCAGATGCAACTAAGCTTTCGGAAGAAATACAAGAAGCTGAAAAGCAGATTCAGAAATACGAAAAGCAGGGAAGAAGAGAAGAAGCGAAGAAGGAAAAGGAGTTCTTAGCTGAATTAAAGGAGTTGCTTGAATTGACAGAAAAGATTGATAGTCTTAGATCCCTGATCTCAAGTTCTGAGAACACGAAGGAGGCTGAACTCCGTCAGCTGGAGTACGAATTGGTCAGCGGTTTAGCAAAGTGGAATATTTCAGATGCAACTAAGCTTCCAGAAGAAATACAAGAAGCTGAAAAACAAATTCAGAAATATGAAAAGCAAGGAAGAAAAGAAGAAGCGAAGAAGGAAAAGGAGTTTTGGGTTGAATTAAAGAAGTTGCTTGAAATGAAAGAAAAGATTGATGATTTGAGACTCCTGGTCTCAGGTTCTGAGAACACGAAGGAGGCTGAACTCTGCCAGCTGGAGCACGAATTGGTCAGTGGTTTAGCAAAGTGGAATATTTCAGAAGCAACTAAGCTTCCAGAAGAAATACAAGAAGCTGAAAAGCAGATTCAGAAGTATGAAAAGCAGGGAAGAAGAGAGGAAGCACAGAAGGAAAAGGAGTTTTTAGCTGAATTAAAGAAGTTGCTTGAACTGAAAGAAAAGATTGATGATCTCAGACTCCTGGTCTCATGTTCAGAGAACAAAAAGGAGGCTGAACTCGGTCATCTGGAGCACGAATTGGCCAGTGGTTTAGCAAAGTGGAATATTTCAGATGCAAGTAAGCTTCCAGAAGAAATACAAGAAGCTGAAAAGCAGATTCAGAAATATGAAAAGCAGGGAAGAAGAGAAGAAGCACAGAAGGAAAAGGAATTTTTAGCTGAATTAAAGAAGTTGCTTGAACTGAAAGAAAAGATTGATGATCTCAGACTCCTGGTCTCAGGTTCAGAGAACAAAAAGGAGGCTGAACTCGGTCATCTGGAGCACTTATTGGCCAGTGGTTTAGCAAAGTGGAATATTTCAGATGCAACCAAGCTTCGAGAAGAAATACAAGAAGCTGAAAAACAAATTCAGAAGTATGAAAAGCAGGGAAGAAGCGAAGAAGCGAAGAAGGAAAAGAAGTTTTTAGCTGAATTAAAGGAGCTGCTTGAATTGGCAGAAAAGATTGATAGTCGCAGATCATTGGTCTCGAATTTCGAGAATCCGAAGGAAAGTAAAGTCCATCATCTTTCAGAAGATGAAATATGTTCTAATAATGCCGTTACTTTGACTGGTAATGCCGCTATTGTAACTGATAACGCCATTACTGTGATTGACAATGTTGTTACTGTTACTGACAATGCTAAAAACAAAAATGTGGAAGAACTTGACATTTTGCATCAAGATTGGACTAAGATGCCTTCTTGTGCTGAAAAAAGTGTGATGCAACTTTTGGAGCATTTCCAACGAATGCTTCTGTTTAGTAAAGGGAAGTCTTCAGAAAATCACGTCTCAGTGAATGAAACTTTAAGCCAGCTGCAGTATCAGATAAAGAAACAAGAACTATTTTCAGAGAAAATTCAAGAGAATATGCAAGATTTAGAAAGATATGTATGTAGCGACGATGCATCATCAACAGTACGTTGTCTAGGAGAACTTTTAACGAAAATGAGACCTTTAAACGTTCAAGAGATTCAGCGACTCGTTGATAAGGCGAAAGTTGCAGGCAAACTAATTCACGGTAAAGAAATTATTCTTTTGATAGGCGAGACCGGAACTGGAAAATCGACTACGATTCAGTTTCTCGCGGGTTCTAAAATGAAAAAGACTAAGGTCGAAGTTGAGCCTGGTAGATTTTTAGAACATATCACAGCAGATGGACTTATAACTAATTCTGGATTGGAAAATGTGATTAGTAGTGCGCGAAACAAGTCAGAAACTCGCTACATCACACCTGTTACGATTCAGTTGAAAGATATTTTCGGTTCTTACGAATTTGGAGAGATCATTTTATGTGATGCACCAGGTTTTGGCGATACAGCAGGTCCAGAAGTTGATATTGCTAATGGTGTAGGAGTTATCGAGGCTATCAAAGGATGTAAGAGCGTCAAGATTCTTGCTCTATCAAGTTATAAAAGCTTAGGTGATAGAGGACAAGGCATTCAGAGACTAGCACATTTATTAATCAATATGATTCATGGAATTCAGGATAGACTAAGTGCTATTCTTTATGCATTCACAAAATATCCTTCAACCATCGATGTGTCTGCTTTGCTAATTGACATTAAAATGTCGAAAGTAGACACAGATCCTTTGTTGCGATCAGATAGTGCTTTTGTAACAGTGTTAACGGATATGATAAATAAAACTAAAGTAGGTGCTGAAAATATCGATCCTGTTTGTGGAGATCCGAGAAACATTATTGGAAAATTGAAGAATGTACACGGTATTATGTTCCCTGAAGAAGTGTTTCGATTTTCGATGAGCGAAGAAACACAAGCATGTATTGCAAATCAGGCACAACGAGATAACTCAAGTGTCAAATCTGCATTCAAACATAAAGACATTGATCTTGTAGTGTATTACTTGAATAAGTTGAAAACGTTAAAAGATTTGCTAGAGCATAGTACAGCTCGAGATACCTATGAAGATGCTATACGTTTTGTAAGTGATAGCATTAATGAATATTGTACAGGAGTGACAAAAAAATTCAACCGCGCGTTAGTTAGTCAAGATGGATTAGGAAAAGACGATATTGATGAATATAAAAGTGCTATTGAATATATTCAACAAATCCAAAAATTGACAGAACATTTAGGCTCAAATCTATTGTCACCTGAATCATTAATGCAAAACATTCATTCTGAACTACAGAGGAGGAGTCAAGCTCTAATAGAAGAAGATTTACATAGTCCCTTGATAGGCATTTATTTCGATAATTTATGTATTCTGAAGGAGACTTTTAAACAACTTGAATCATTTTACAATAAAAGTTGTGAAAGTTTTCGAGAACGTTTCGAAAAATTACAACAATCTGCTCGTGAACCGATTTATATTAATGACTTCAATAAAGCAGCTGAAATTATTCTTAAAATATCCAAATGTTTGCCGATTCTGAATAGTCATTTGAATGGATTAGTCGAAGAAAAATATAAAAACATCGTGCAATTGCTCTTGCAACATTTAAATAGTTTCTCGGAAAAAGCCGATTCTATTTTAGCAAGGACTAGATTAAGTGAGAATGACATAGAAGTCATTAGAGATTATGTGAAAACAATGAGATCAGCTAAAGAAAATTCTGCACTTCAAGATCGTATTTCTACATATCTTGAAATGTTAACAAAGATAAATGATAAATTAGTAGAAGATGTCAAAAGTATTAGTGACAATTACAATGCATTGATTGAAAAAATAGTAAACTATTTCAATCAAATAAACAATAGGATTCCAGAACTTTTTCAAACAAGTGGAGATCGTGCTCTAGAAGATATAGAGACATTAGTCAACGATATGGATGCGATTCGAACCATTCCAGAAATTGAATCGAAAACTGCCGGAGCATATTATCGTACTGTTGAAAGCATACGTGGACATATGCAACAACTCCAACGAGATGTAGAGCAATTACTTTTTCCTCTTGATCTTCAATCAGGTACTCTTAATTATGGAAAAATTGCCCGATTATTATCACGTTTGAAAAATGCCAAATGGATGAATCGTGTTAGTCCAGGAGCATATGATACTTCGATAAATCGTGTAACAGCAGAGTTAATTCAATATTTCCATGAATTAGAAGATAGTCTAATGAAATTAGATTTAAGTTTGAGATATCCGGAAAATGTTTCTGTAGCTGAAGGAATTTTTGAGAAAATTGAATCTTTAAGTGTATTAGAACGTAGTGTTCCAGAATTAAAAAAATCTAAAGATGCAATGGTTCAACGTTTTCTAGAAAGTGTACAGGGGAATTTCAATCGTATACAAGCTAAGTTTAATTTACAAGACATTACTTTATATCAAATGAAACAGGAATTAAAAGAGCTTGAACAAATCATACGCGAATACGAGGATTTACATTCAGCTCGTGTCTTTTTACGAAAACATGATTTTTCAGATATAAATAAATTGAACAATGAAATTGATGAGTTAGAAAAGAAACAAAAAGAAGAACTCCAACAAGAAAATGAGAAAAAATCTAAGATAGAATTAGAATTAAATAATTTGAAATTGGTTATTGAAAACTGTAATCAGTCCACTATTGATACCATGCGTGAGACTATCAAAAAAGCAGAACAACGTTTTAATGATCAATTGGAAATTATTCAGGAAATACAAACAAAATATAATAATTCTTTAACACCATTAAAATCAATTCGAAAACAATATGAATCCTTGTTAGCTACACGTGATTCTATTTCTCCTGAGCAAATCAATTTTCTTCAAGAGAAAGGAAAAGATAGTATTGAATCACTTAATGATATCATAAAAGAGAAGAAGAAAATTATTGCTGAACGTCAGAAAAATAAGCAATCCTATGATTTTAATAATCGATTCGATGCATCGACAGCAGATATTGCTTTATTATATACAAGTAATTGTGAAAAAATAGCTAATGTTCGTTTAAAAGAAATCGCCACTGATACTCATGAAATATTGAAAAAGTATATTAGTGAATATGGCTTTTTTCTCGATCAAGAAATCGAAAGTTTATTTAAACATTTAACTACAATTGGTTCTCAAGGAAACCTTTCTCAATATTCGAAAGATTTAGAAATACGTCTAGAACAATTATCTTCTCTCAGTGAGGTTAAACGTGTTTTTGAATGTATTGACGGAAATAAGAAAATAGAACTTTGGCGTCGAAAATTTCATGAACAGCTTCGTAATATGAGTGGTATGATGGAAGAACACAAAGAGTCTGGTAGAAATACAGAATTAAGAGAGAAATTAACGATTGCACAAGGATTAATGGGCTCAGATCACTTTTGGGGTAGTGCATTTTTATCGAATGGATTCGGAGCCTTATACAGAAAGTATCAGGTAGAGGCAACCAAGGAATCTAAACAAGCTTATAGAACAGTGCTAGACTGTATATCAAGAGAAGACTATGGAAACGCAGATAAGGCATTAGCAGATGTTGATGAGAGAACAGCAAATCCAAAAGATATAGATCAGATTAAGCATGATTTACAAACATCTTTAAATTCTTTGATGCAAAGTACTCGAAGAATAATCAATGTTCTCGATCCGAAAACCGATTTCAAGGAAAATAATGAGAGTCGAACACGAGAAATCAATGAAAATATCGAAAAGATTCATATTGTTTTGAATAAGCCAAGACTTATGGGATATCTTAACGAAAAAAGCAAAGATGATCTAACAAATTTTGAAGAATCTATTAAAATACTTTTATCTACAATGCTTTTAAAGGAGCTCACTTCAATTGAAGATTTCATAAATTCTGAGAATGCTTTAGAAGCTGAAAAAAGCATTGAAAATTTTAAACGCATAGAACGTGAGTTAACCAATCATTTTACCATGGAAAATGTTAGTAAAAAAGCAAAGGAAGTAAGAAAAAAAATTGATACTTTAGCAAGCGATATTTTAGAACGAAATAATTTTAAAGATATTGAAAACTATGCCAAAAAATCACCTAGAGACCTTTTAGCTAAATTAGAAAGAGCTGCTAAATATCGTAGTGAGAAATATACTCCAGTTTATACGTTTGTATTAGGAGAAATTCAGCATAATTTTGAAACAGCTATAAATAATGCGTGTGACGCTCCCATTGAGAAACGTTCAGCACACATGCGCCCATTAAATTATACATTAAGATTTTTACCAGAAGATTTACAACAGTCATTTAGACCAGTAATTAATGAACTTACTAAGAAATTCGAAGACGAAGAACGAGCATATAAACGTGATTTAAAAGGCTTTCTCGAAGATGACAATGTAGACGATTCTACCATAAAACGATTAAACGATCTTGCTTTGCAATATAAACAAGAACAACGACATGAATCCCTTGAAATTTTACGCATCGGAGTTATAAAAAAGTTGGATAATCATTGGAAAAATGTACAGAATGCATTAGATAAGGATGATATACAATCTGCTATTAATAGTATGAAGCAAATTATTAAATATCAAGAAAATGTAAAAAGTATTTCCGAAGTAGAAGGATGCTATCAAAAAGTGTGTACTTTAATAAGTATAAACGTTAAAAACTATTCGGATACTCTGAGTAACATATTCAAAATTGAGAAAATTCAAACTGTTGAGCAAGCTTTTAATAATATGATCATCTATATTGAACTTGGTCAAGAGTTTCCTAAAAGAATTCATGAATTACTAAATGAAAAAGTATTGCAAAATATCGAAAATGGATTGAAAAATCTGTATGATAATTGGCATGACATTTCTAGTATATTCCGTATTTCTATGAACGAGCTAAATATTAAATCAATGCATGAAGTAATCAAAATAACGGAACGTTGGGATGGATTTTTACAGAAGATTAAAAGTTGTTCTTGTCGACATAGTTTAATAGAATCATTTTTGAACAATATGAAAAGTATTATTTTTTATTCGGATATGATTTCTGAATTAATGAACAAGATAATTGATTTAACAAAAAATTTCGATGTCGAACTTACTAGTGATGAAACGACACGATTTGAAGTAATACGTGATCAATTTTTTAATAATCTTGCAGTATCTCTCAAAGCATTGAAATCGATTAATTCAGAATTTAAAAGTAAGTTTTCATCGATAAGTAATGTTGAAAAATTAGAAAAAGAACTCAAAGAGAAAGTCGAAGAACTTAAACGTAAACTTCTTGTATATGCATCGAAAGATGAATTTTCATTATCGGACTCCGATTATTTTCGTATGTATTACAATCATCTGATATCATGCGATAAATATATACGTCTTTCAGAAGTCAGAATTCGACATAGTTTAGAATTAGCAGAGACAAAAATTTTCGACAAAATTACACTTTTATCGAAAGATATTGCTAAGTTAGATGCCGATATTACCAAAGTTGCTGAATTATTTGTAAAAATGAAATTTTTTGCTGAGAATTTTTCGATGTTTGATACTAAAATCAATGGAATGATAGATGACGCTCTAAAATCGTACAAAACACAACAGGGTTCTCTTATTCTTTCGCAATTGACTATGGCATTAGAGAAAAATGATGTAGGTTCTCGATTAATTGCTGAACATTCTTCTTTAAGTGCTGAAGATTGGAGAAAACGGCGTGAAAAAATGCAAAAACAAGATGATCTAGAGTATGTTATAGGCGAATTGGAAGGAAATGATGTTTCTAAGGATGTCTTGCGTTCACGCTATAAAAATTTCAGACAAATATATGATTATTTAATATCAACCATTTTAGCATCGTTTAATCCGAAGACTGAAAAAGAGCCGAATATAGAAGTATTGATAACACAAACTAAGGTTCTTCTTGGAACAGTAGCACAAAAAGTGAATGATATTACTTGGGATTACTCTTTTCGAGATAAGATTCCTGAATTATTAGCACATATTTTTGCTGTATGGACTTTGAAAAATACTCAACATTATAATGCCATGCGTGGCATTGATGCATCACAAGCTTATCTATTGATGCCACATGTTGCGCAAGTTATTGCTATTTTTCGTATTCTTGGTATTGGCTATGAAAAGAGCATGAAAATCGTAGGAATTAAAGTACCTTTCACGAAAAGAATCTCTGATGATTTAGTAAATAATTTAGTACAAATAGGAACAGGTGAAGGTAAATCTGTGGTTATGGCAATTACTGCCTGTGTTTTTGCTCTTGTTGGAATCGATGTTAATTGTTCATGCTATAGTGAATACTTAAGTATGCGAGATAAGAATGATTTTGCTCCAGTATTTCGAGCACTTGGAGTCGAGGAACGCATTGAGTATGGTACCTTTAATAAATTGTGCGAAAACTTCTTGAATGAACAATGCAATATACGAGAAAAAGTTCGTGATATGATTATGAATAATAAGAATGTCATAGACGTAGTTCAAACGACGACCCGTATCCGTCCGAAAGTTTTGTTGATTGATGAAGTAGATGTTTTTCTAAGCGAAAAATTCTATGGTGGAATGTACACACCTTCGGTATATCTAAAAGATCCCGCAATAAAGACTTTATTAGATACCTTATGGCAAAATAGAAATGTACGCACATTGAATGCTGTCACAAGTTTGCCAGCATACCAAGCGTGTGCTACTCGATTCAGTAACTGGACTTTTCTTTTCAATGAAGCCATAAGAGATATGTTGGCTGCCTTACAATCGTTTCAGTCATCAACATATATCGTACAAAATGATAAAATTGTTTATGTCGAAGGTGAATCCATTGCAGAAAATGTAGTTCGCGGTTATGATACAATTTGGGCGTATTATTTTGAGAATCAAAAGGGTCTTATTAGTCAAAATAGCTTGGAAACTAATGTAGGCATTATCATTAACTGTGGGACATTTTCTTACGCTGAAATGCCTCATGAATTTGCTTATATCACAGGTGTTACTGGTACTTTAAAAACACTTGCTCAACCAGAACAAAATATCCTGAAAAAGGTTTATCAGATATCTAAGAACACTTATATGCCATCAGTTTTCGGAAAAAGTAATCGTAATTATAATTCTGCTAACGATGTAGAGACAGTGAAGGAATCAGAATATTTCATGAGAATTCGAGGAGAGATTGACATGATGTGCAATGCTCAACGTGCTATTCTCGTATTTTTCGAATCGGAAGAGAAGTTAATGGCATTTTATAATTCTTCAGAATTGTCATCTATTAAACAGGATGTGCAAATTATGACTGAGAAAGTTTCCAGTAAGGAGAGAGAACTCTGTATTAAGCGTGCAGCTTCTGAAGGTAAAGTTACATTATCAACGCGAACATTCGGACGAGGAACTGATTTCATTTGTCGAAACCAACGAGTGTTAGCTAATGGTGGTATTCATGTACTTCAAACATTTTTTTCCGAAGAACTATCGGAAGAATATCAAATAATGGGAAGAGGAGCGCGACAAGGAGACCGTGGTTCATATAGAATGGTTTTATTAGATAAAGATTTAGAATGGGTTCTTGGTGCTACATGGGAAGAGGATGTTCCAAAAGTCACAGGCTCTGCCCTTTATGCCGCTTTGAATAAAGCTCGTAATGCACTTTATGAAAGCAAGTGTGCTGCAAAAGAAGTTGGCATAGAACAATCCAGGCATGAGCATGAATCTTCTAAAATCTTTATGAATGCATTGTCTGAAGGAAAAATCGACGCTGTCAAACAGTTTTTGACAGAGCAAAATCGTGGAGCGAACATAGATTCTGGCACTTCGCGTACGCTTCTACTGATGGATGCAACAGGATCTATGTCAAGTTTATTATCTGCTGCCAAAGATACAGTCTGTACAATGTTTGAACGTGCTTCAGTTGTTTTAGAAGAAAAAGGATTATTAAAAGATGCATTCTCTATGCAATTTGCTGTTTACCGAAACTATAGTTCTAGAGATAATAAAATTTTGGAAGTTTCTTCTTGGGAGACAAAGGCTAGTAATTTACGGGCATTTATGAACGCCATTGGTCCTGAAGGTGGAATGGGAGAGGAAGCGATTGAAATAGGATTCTGGTATGCAGCTAAGGAGAGTGAAATGCAAGACGGGATTTCTCAAGTTATTTTGATAGGAGATGCTCCAGCAAATAGTAAATCTGATGTAACTAGTAAGCGAGCCCGATTAGGTGAAGCCTATTGGAAGCAGACTAGATTTGCTACGCCAACATATTATGAAGATGAATTAGAAAAGTTGAAAAATAAAAATATCCCTGTTCATGCATTTTATCTTACTAATTATGCAAAAGATAATTTTAAAAAAATTGCAAACGAAACAAAAGGTCGATGTGAGTCGCTGAATATTTGTTCTACTGAAGGTGCTGAATCATTGACCAGCTTTGTAACAGAAGAAGTTCTTAGAAAGACAGCGGGTAATCAAGGAGACGCTGCTGTGGAACTTTATCGAAAGAAATATAGCAAGACAACTTTTACATCATAAAATCGAATAGTAAAGAGACCGAGAGTGATGAAAACTGGATGTGAGAAAATATATTTTTTTTAAACAGAAGTCAACATTTTCATTTGAAGCAAAATTTGTACCGAATGAAATCGATGATCAGAAGCTATTGTAAACTTACTCTGTCAAAATACCTATCCATGTAATGTTGCATAAATATTCACTATGATTGTCTCTCTTTTTTTTTAATTCTTGTATTATGCTAAAATCAATCTGTCTTGCAAAATGAATGTATCAACTGATCGTTTTTTTTCCATTGTACTTGTTCACATCAATTCATTTGTTTTATTCCTCTGATCATATGTTTTTTCTTTGACCTATATTGAAATTTGTTTTCTTCATTATCGTTCTTTTTCTATTCGTGACTTCTCTTAATTAATCATTTAAACAAGTTGTATTCTGAGGTTTCGACAAAACTTTCAAATGTCTTCTAAAATAAACTTATATGAACTCAAGATAGAGTGTGATTTCAGCAAGCACAAATGCACAATTTTAAATAAACAAAACAAAGGAACTCTCAAATACTTTACTATCATACTCTTTCAACTATCAATATATCATTATCTATGTCAATTTTGTAGGAACACTGATAACCTGATAAATATCAAATACTTGTAATAATGCCAAAGGAGGAAAAAGCATACTTTTGAAGTTGAAGTTATTTTTAGCTACTTCAAGGTTACTTTAAGGGTACCCTCCTCCCCTTTCCCTGGTTTCTCGACAATGGCTCATCGGAGAAGTTTGAAATTTTCAGAGCAGATAGATCTTGATGAGTACAGAAAAAGTTGTCCTAGACTCAAAATTCTCTGATACTGTCTTCGATGAGATAAGAGATAATAGGGTCACAATGTCGAACAATGGTCCCAGTTTTCGCCCCCGTTTCTCCAAGACGGTATGTTTGATTAAGCTGAAAATGTTTTTACAGGTACTAGACACTGTTTGGGGTGTGTATTTTATTTTCAATTTCTTTTTATCTTTTGTCATTTCAATGAAAAAGTCAAAATACTGAGTCTACCCTAAAAAACGCTTGTTTTTATTCCTTTAGCAAATTTTGTGAAAGTTGTCAAAAATCGCCAGAGCAATGATCCTTGAAAAGAAAAAACAAATACCCACCTCAAATAGTGACTAGAATATGTGAAAAAAGTTTCAGCTCGATCTCTCTTACCATACCAAAGAAACAGGGGAGAAACAGTAATTTTTCTGCTAAAAATTTGATTTTGAGAAAAATCCAAAAAAATAGACAATTTTAGCTATTTTCGTTATGTAAATTTGATTTTTTCTCGAATTTTTTAATCTTTAAAGGTAATTGTTGGGTTCCAAAATATAGTCAACAGATAGACACTACTTGAAACTATACCATGGCTACAAAAACCAAAAATGAAAAAAAACAAAATTTTGAGCAACGAAAGGGGCGGGGGTACCCTCAGCTACTCCGAACTATTTGAAGTTGGGTACTTCCATGCAGATCCACCCACTTTTACATAGGCTTTCTACTGGCAAGAATTAAGTATACTAGTTTCGTAGCTCTCGTCGAGTTATGTAGGAAATGATATTTTTTGTTTTGATTCAAATCATGCGCTAACTCCAGTAGAACGAGCTCAAAAGTCGATTTTATCGAAAACCAGCTCCCAGAATCGGTGATTTTCATTTTTCGTGAACAATCTTTGGAAACTTTGATTTTACCATGGGATAGAGCATACAAAGTTGTCTCTGTAAAATAATTTTCAGAGCTATATATCTAAATATCATTGTTTGGGAGCCTTGGCCAATTTTGGAAAAAAAGATGCTTTATGCTCAAATTGAACTGCTTACAAAATGTATCCATAAAATCAGATGTCCTAACATATTACAATCAAAATGAAGCTTACACTATTCGTATTCAAACGCAAACTGCTGGATCCTTCAAAACTCTTCTTCGCTCTAGATGTATGGATCGCAATGGTTAGAGGATCCAAAAAGAAGATCATGTTGGGTCTCGACTTTCTCAGAAAGTGCACGTCACAATTTCTTGAAAAATCTTTTGTAAATACATTTGATGTGTAGTATTAATGATTAAAATATGATTCTTCCGATTTCAGGATTGTGTGAGATCGAGCTCTTCAAAGATTGCCTAAAATCTGACCCAATGATTGTACTTTAGCATACTTCATTGTACTCGAAGTAAGCCAAAAATAAGTGAAGACGGGCAACATGATCAGCCCTAAATGTTCTCAATACCCTGCAAGTCTAGTCTGAAACATGTATCATACCGGCAATGGCTCGCTATCCTGACAAAAAGTGTCATGCAACTACATCTGGAGTAGTCCCGAATGTTCTTGAAATTCGTCATGTCTAGTCTTTTTGTAAACTCATCCCGCCCAGACTAGTCCGCAGAACACAAAATAAGTGGATGCGAGTGAGTATGAATATGGGTTGTGGGCTGGTAGAGAAGATTCAGACCCAGACCCACACCCACCCTGAGCTGATTTTTGACTCCTGCAAGATGAGAAAAGTCAACAGTAACTCATGTAGGTCTTCCAACCAATCCGGTTCGGTCTCATTCAACAGATTTAGACTGATACCGATAAGAAAAAGCGTCCTACCGATTACAACACTGAAACATTGTGGGTTAACATGATGGGCAAAGAAAGTATTATGAGGGCAGTATCTATATGTAAGTTTAAGCGCTGATATATTTTGTTAAAGTAATTAAGTGAAAAAGATAGATGATCGATAATAAATGAGAATAAGTCATAAGTAAGAGAGAAAACTAGTAAAGACAAAGTTTATTTTTTATTTTTTTCTTGTGTCTTGATTAATCTTACGAAAAATATTCCGTTCGCTGTCGTTTGTTTAAGGTTTTATTTTACTTTGGATAAAATTGTTGGCAATAGATTGGATGTATATGATGAAGTAGATGTAATAGCAGAGATACGTAAGAAAGAAAGAGTAGAAACATTTTTCTCAGCAACAGAAGGGAGAGAGTGAATATCATGAAAGAAATCAGCATAAATAAATTGGGAATTCTCAATTTTCCCTTTGTTTGAAGTAGTCGACTGACAAGATAATGATCAACACTTACCCAGGCTCATCAATCAAACGCTAAAATAATACAGAGTTATGTATCTGATCTTGTATAATCGTCTGAGACCATACTGAATTCGTATCAAACATCTTCGTCGTTCAAGTATTGCACAAAATTTTAATATTAGATTTTTCTAAGACCTTTTCATCCCATAAGATAGAATTATAAAATTATATCAAATCTTATGTGGGAATAAAATCTGTCAAGACTCTTATAATAAGATTCAATGTAACGTTTCAAATATTAAGATTTTCGACTTTTTTTAAGAAAATTCCGTCTGATCTTTTTATTTGGGTACGAATACTTTTCCCTTCTAGTGATTTTTTTCGTTCGTTCCGTTTCTATTATTTGCGCTGAAATATACATTGCTCATAGGTATACGGTAAGTATGTTGTTGGTCGAGAAATTTTCGTCGACACAGCATATAAAAAAAAGGGTGTATAGTGTGGGTGTGGGTGTCGGTGTGGGGGTGGGGTGTACATGTGGGAATGCATTTCTACCCACACCACACCCGCACACCTGCATCGACACCCACGCTCATCCACACCAACAACCTTTTTTTTGATATGCTGTATCGGCGAAATGTCCTGTCGACAATATGCTTTTCTGCAAAAAAATTTCGATAAAAATTTTTCGACAAAGTTACTTCGACGAAAAATCTGTTGAGTAAAGTGTCGTTCGTCAAAAAACATAGCATTCCAGATATACGGTAGTCTTAGTCGCCATCTAATAACGATATTTGTGTTACTTTTCTAATTTCTCACATCTTCGAAGAAAGTTAAAGCACTTTTTTAAAAGGATCTTTTGTTTGGAGTTGCCAGGACGGAAGGATTTATTCCTGATGTGCCCTCTAAATTAAAAAGGTAGAATGGTTAATTTATATGATATCTACCCTGTAAACATCTCGGTTGTACATGTTAGCACTTCGAGCCATTCTATAAT